GCACTACGTGCCCATCTGGCTCTACCCGGAACCTGCCTTCCCGCCCTTCTGCAGTGGCTCTGCCTACGTTCTCTCTGCCCCAGCCGCTGCTGCTGTCCTGGGTGCTGCCCGCCTGCTGCCGCTGCTGCCTGTGGAGGATGTGTATGTGGCGCTGTGCGCCCACCATGCTGGCATTGCCCCGCGCCACCTGAACCATATGGCCGGGGCTACCCACTACCCGCCTGATGCCTGCTGCTACCGGGAGGTGCTCCTCAGCGTGCACGAAGTGGAGCCTGCCGAAATGCTGTCCATGTGGGAGGCAGCCGAGCACCCCTGCACCGCCTGGCAGCGCTTCCTTGGCTTGACCCGCTGCCAGGTCCTGGCCTGGCTGGCTGCAGGGCTGCCAGACTCCTGAACGGAAAATAACTTCAGGTCAATGTAGTATGAGAGACTTGCCAGGCTGGCGTGTTGTGCAACAAGGTAACTTCCTCTCCGTCTGCGCCATCAGCTGCTGCAGGCGGAAGGCCTCCCCGGAGAGCTTGGCCAGGGCCACCTCCCACTCCGCCTCCATCTTCTCCTCCTGCTCGGCCAGCCAGCCCACCCAGACCGGCTGCCTCTCCCGGAGCAGCTCCTGCAGGGACTCCAACACCAGGCCCACCTGTTCTCGGCTGCAAGTAGCACCTGTGGGGCAGAAGAAGAGGGGGGACTCAGAGGGAGGGGGAGATTTCCTAGGGCTGCCTCCTGCCCCCTCCCCAAGAGACCCACCTGGAACTCCTGCCGGCTCTCCTCCTCGGCCTGCCTCTGATGCAGCAGCTTCTTCCTCTTCTTCCTCAGGGGCCTTGGGAGGCCATCCAGCAAGTCCTGCACGGGGAGGAGAGGGTGCCATTCCTGGGTTCCAAATGGCAGCGCTCCCACCCAGATGGGGCCACAGGAACCCTGTGCCCAGCTGGGGCTCCCAGGGGCAGGCAGGGGCCCACGAGGAGGAGAGCAACTGAGAGTCGGTCTGCCCCCGTCTCCTGATGGAGTGCCCCATGCAATTGGTTAGGAATTGATAGCCACCGAACAGTTGGGTTGGAAATATACAAACCAGGATAGACATTTACTACTGTCTCTTTAAGGGAATGCTAAAATTGTAATTGGGTGTGGTTCCTCAAATGGCTGTAAGATGGAGCCTTCAATACAGGAACGCAATGTTGCCAGCCAATCAAGACACAAAAAGAGCCACAAAACGGACAGAAGATATTAGAAACACCAATCAAGCAGAACACAGCAAACTCCAAGACCAATAAACACAGACCAAGACTCCAAACCAATCAGGATGAAGAAAAAACCATTCTGGCACAGCAGTAGGCTAGCCCCAAATTTAAAACTGAAACAAGTGTAAAAGTCTGACTCACAGACGAACACAATACAGAAACCTGATGATGGCAGATGAAATTCTGCCGAAACATATATATAATCTAAATCAATAAAAAGCATACTGGTCCTTTTTTGGTTATTATCTTTGCCAAATTACAGCCTTGATGAAGTCAAACTTCTGCCTAAATGTAGCACATTCTGAATTTTAAGGCAGGGCTCTCCAACCTTGCCCACCTCCGGCCTGGAGGACTTCAACTCCCAGAACTCCCCAGCCAGCTTTGAATTCTGGGAGTTGAAGTCCTCCAGGCCAACAGTGGCCAAGGTTGGAGTGCCCTGTTTTAGGAGTCCAGGGGATCCCCGGGTTGACGAGCGTTCCC